GGATAAGAACAGTTCAATAACAGTAATTTGTATATTTATCGAGAATTAAAGTAGACGCGATTATGAGACAGAGCTGATCAAGCTCGAAACCTGGCCAAGATATTTATACCAAATAGATCTGTCGGTGCATAGAAAAGGAGGAAATTTAGTGTCTCGTTACTTCGGGAGGCTGTACCGGCATACGTGTGTGTATCTGTGTAATGAGATTTCTATCCTGTACGTTAAAGACGGCAAGGGTAATGCGTAATTTCGTGGCGATAGAATCCATCTTTTTCGTAGCCTAGTTAGGTTTTAGAGTTTTGAAGTGAGAAGCAAATTTAGAACGCCACTAATCTTAATAGGCAACCATTCGTCCTTGTGGACCTGAAATTCGTACAACTATACATGTTACAGTAATGATTCTAACCAAGATTATATACAATAGCATATAAAAATGCGCATGCGTCTGTGATCGGCAATCCATCCGCTAGGGGCAACCTTATCTTGACGGGGCGAGTAGGCAGTCTGACATATAGCAAAGGGGCAAAGCAGCGGCAAGTTTAGCGCTTCGTAACAACGCGACTGACGAGTTCATATAAGAATGACCGACTATATTCTATCAGTATTATACACACATGCCAGGTCTGTATTTACGCTCTAGGTATTTTGCCTCTTAATTCACTTTCGATTCCGAATGGATGTTTAAGAAAATGAGATGCCTACACGCGAGTGTCTAGAAGAAATTTCATCTTTCGAGCGAGCTTGGGTCATTATCTCCCCCCGAAGCCAATAACATTCTCCTGGTCATTTTTCCACTCGGTTCTTCAGTATGTATATATATATCTATCTATACATATAGGTTTCGTCCCAGTGAAAGCTGGGCAAAAATCACTCTAACCCTTACATCCAAGTATAACCACGCGATAACAAGAGGGCGATTTGCCCTTCTGTAGTGTCTCACCATTTTGTCCAAGCCCCTTCCCGGCCCTAGTTAGCATTACATACATTCTTTTTCTCCCATACTTTTGACTCATTCACACTCGGCGAGGGGGACACCCACGAACTTAAATTATCAATCATTAGCGGTTGCTAATTAATAGTTAATATACAATACGGAAAAACTATATAACTAATAAAAACGTACATCAATAATATTAAAAAACACCATCGTAATAATCATAATGAAAGCCAAAAATCATTGTCAGCGTAACCCCTTCACAGGCGGCGGGAAGTAACAGGATAAACAATGCAGAAGTGGCCGAAACCTCCTTTCTGTTTATGTCACACTTCTTAATTGTCTGTTGTCATGTCTGTTGTATGTCATGAACTGTGTGTGTGTGTGTGTGTGTGTGTGTGTGTGTGTGTGTGTGTGTGTGTGTGTGTGTCGGGTGTTCAAGTGCGATGATTTTGTGGCTATGATGCTGATAGTAAAATTGTGCCAACGGAATTGTGAATTAATAATAATATTGTTATTATGTAATTATATGTGTTTATTCGAAACGGTCTAAGACCCTCATCATTCGATCTGGGGCTGTTTCCATTGCTTTCTTCCTTTCGATCTGAAGTGGATTCTCCAAGCGACTTTTGTCTCTCCTTTTTTTTTTTTGTTTGGTGAGTTAATGAACGTAGAACGGCAACGTTAGCAATCAGCTAATCGACGTGTGTGGATTATAGTTATCCTTTGTTTCATCATTTTTTTTATTGTTAATAGTGATTATGGGAAACTGAGGAATTGTCTGCGTAGTTTGGTTCCGCTAATCTGGTCAGTCCTGCAACGATGTCAGCGCAGTAGCTATTAAGATCATTGTCAATGTGGTTTGTTGTTGGCCTGGAAAAAGCTCGACTGTATTTGTTATATCTCCTTCGTGTTTCGTAAATGGCATATTTATCGTTGGGGACAGTGTAGATACTTGTCTGTGTGTTTTTTTTACAGTGTTTGATTTTTTGCGTCTGCTCTGAGCATCTGCATTGCTAGGTCTATTCTGTCTTTGATCCTGCTGGCGTCATTTTTGTCCTTTCCGTCGTTCTTCTCCTTGTTGTTGTTGTTGTTGTGGTGATAATTTTTATTGTGCTTATGATTCTTATTTTGTGCTATCATCATCGCCAAGATCTCTCAGCACTACTAACGCTGACGCTAGAATTATCTTTCGCTACACAGGTTATATACGATATACTTATTATACAAGGGTTTGGTATCTTCAGTTCGGTCGATTCTTTTTTGCTGCATCTTATATCTCGCAGTACCCCTCTCCCAGCTCTGCCATACGCCTGTACGTCACTGCGTTTCTGTGTTGGCCTCCGTAAGGCGTGTGAATGTCTCCATTTTAAGCGTCAATGCAGATTATATATACAAGTCTGCAAATATCAACCACTATATTACTACTACTACTACTACTACTACTACTACTACTACTACTACTATTTATCGAACAGTTATAACAACAGCGATAGCGACGACAATAAGAATAATGAGAGTTCTTCTTGCATTCAACTATCAGTCGAAAGATTAATTTAACAAAAAGAAAACCTTTTGTTTTTTTCTATTCCTGTTTGGTTGTCATCGGCTGCAAGTTCTTTGCTATACTTGTCTGTTGTTTTTTTCGCATCGTATGTGGTCTCGAGTGCATTTATCTATCATCTATCTATCTATCTGTCCATATATATATATATATATTATCTGTGTTTCATCGTCACTATTATATATATTATCATTAGTAGCAACTAGTATGAATCTTCCTTATTACTACAGCTATCGTATATATATTTTATAGTCGTACAGTTAATAATAGTAATCTTCACAATATGCTTGTTTCTCTGTGTCGTCGTCGTCAGCATCTTCGTTAACGATCAACGTCCGCGTTGTCGTAACTTTTATGTCTTCGATCCTCGTGTTCGTGTTCGTTTAGCGTTTCGTATGATTTAATCATTGCAGCGATCCATTAGCTTTCCGTCGGTCCTCATCTTAGTGCGTCATTTTATCGTCCCGTTCACTTTTCATAGTTTATTTCCATTTGTCGCCGTAAGATCCTATCGTCTCACGCTACACTGTGAAGTATATAAGGCATACGGGGTGAACCGTGACTCCTGTGATGGACTCTCTCCCTCTCTGTTTTATATGAAAGATATTTAGCAAATATTTTTTCTTTTCTTCGTAGATATATATATATATATATATATATATATATAATAGCCATAGTTACAACAATTAAAAAAGATTTCTTTTCTCCGATCACGCTGCTA